CCTTGATGACTTCAATGTTTTCTCTGTTTATCATGATGTTGCTTATTGGTCCAGTCATGAGGATTTTTGTTTTCTTTATGTTGAGGTGTAATCCATACTGATACGGTCTTTGATCCTCATCAGTAAGTGTTTCAAGTCCTCTTCACTTTCAGCAAGCAAGGTTGTGTCATCTGCATATTGCAGGTTGGTAATGAGTCTTCCTCCAATCCTGATGCCCTGTTTTTCTTCATATAGTCTAGCTTCTTGGATTATTTGCTCAGCATACAGATTGAGTAAGTATGGTGAAAGGATACAGCCTTGATGCCCACCTTTCCTGATTTTAAACCATATAGTATCCCTTTGTTCTGTTTGAAAGACTGCCTGTTGGTCTATGTGCATGTTCCTCCTGAGCACAATTAAGTTTTCTAGAATTCCCATTCTTCTCAGTGTTACCCATAATTTGTTATGATCCACACAGCTGAATGCCTTTGCATAGTCAAAAAACAACAACAACAAAATAACACAGGTAAACATCCTTCTGTATTCTTTGCTTTCAGCCAAGATCCATCTGACATCAGCAGTGACATCCCTCTTTCCACATCCTCTTCTGAATCTGGCTTGAACTTCTGGCAGTTCCCTGTCGATGTACTTTTGAATGATCTTCAGCAAAATTTTACTTGTATGTGATATTAATGATATTGTTCGATAACTTTCACATTCTGTTGGATCACTTTTCTTTGGAATAGGTACAAATACGGATCTCTTCCAGTCAGTTGGCCAGGAAGCTGTCTTCTAAATTTCTTAGCATAGACAAGTGAGCACCCCCAGCACTGTTTGTTGAAACATCTCAATTGGTATTCCATCAATTTCTGGAGCCTTATTTTTCGCCAGTGCCTTCAGTGCAGCTTGGACTTCTTCCTTCAGTATCATTGATTCTTGATCATATGCTACATCCTGAAATGGTTGAGCATAGACCAGTTCTTTTTGGTACAGTGACTCTGTATTCCTTCCATCTTTTTTGATACTTCCTGTGTCGTTCAATACTTTGCCCATAGAATCCTTCGATGTTGCAACTTGAGGCTTGAATTTTTTCTTCAGTTCTTTCAGCTTGAGAAATGCTGAGTGTGTTCTTCCCTTTTGGTTTTCTAACTTCAGGTCTTTGCACATGTCATTATAATACTTCACTTTGTCTTGAGCCACCCTTTGAAATCTGTTCAGCTCTTTTGCTTCATTATTTCTTCCATTCGCTTTAGCCAGTCTATATTCAAGAGCAAGTTTCAGAGTCTTCTGACATCCGTTTTGGTCTTTTCTTTCTTTCCTGTCTTTTTAAAGATCTTTTGCTTTCTTTATGTATGATGTCCTTGATATCATTCCACAACTGTCTGGTCTTCGGTCATTAGTGTTCAAAGCATCAAATCTATTAAAGGTTGGGAAACTGGGATAATGATGGGACAAAAAGAAAATAAGTGCAGCAGGACCATATTTCAAAGAGATGTAATCCATGTGCCCAGTTTCAGAGTAAAAATCTCTGTGTAATATGGTTTATGCAGTTACTTAATGTTGCTTTAATTATTGGCATACATTTGTTCCACTATATACTGTGAATTTATATTTAATATTAAGTACTTGGTTTTATAAGCATAAACCTATTGCCACTGATTCGATTCCAACTCATAGCGACCTCATAAGACAGAGTAGAACTGCCCAGTAGGGTTTCTAAGCCTGCAGTCTTTACAGAGGCAGCCTGCCACATCTTTCTCCCACAGTGTGGATGGTAGGTTTGAACCACTGACTTTTTGGTTAGTAGCCCAGCACTTAACGACTGCGCCATAGCATACAAGAAGGAAAATGAATGAAATGATGAAACAATAGGTTATATATCATAAGGACTCAATACAACTGCCAAATTTGGATGCAGGAATCCCCTTTGGACTAGGTCCACTGTAGCTGGTATCCAGGGCTAATGTTGGCGCCTAAGTTGCATTGTTCTCCATAGAGCTATATGGTCCTCTCAAAACTGGCCCATTGCTACCTGGAAACCACTACTAACTGTGACCCTAATCAAGAATATTGGTAGTATTTTAAAATTATTAGTTTTCTGTATATATTTTTAGTGCTATAGACTGCCATTCCAAATTAGACTTGCTTTTAGTATATCATTTTACAATGTTGATCTATAATTCATTACCTCAGCGCATGCAGGGAGGCAGTGTTGTAAATTCTACACTGGTAAACTGCTTGGTGAAAACCATGCTTTGGATTTCTAACGTATATAATTATATTTAAAATCAAGCAAGGCTTAGTTTTGTGCCTGATTTTCTTCTTTGAAAATATGGATTTGTTATCTGGAGATTGCAGTTAATGACGTTTTGATTTTATATTAATATGTTTGCTGCTGCTACCAAGAGCTTTGTCAAGCAAGTTGGAGATGGAGGGAGATTAGTTCCTGTTCCAAGCCTCAGTGAAGCTGACAAATACCAACCCCTAAGTCTGGTGGTAAAAAAAAAACGATGCTTTCTGTTTCCTAGATATAAATTTACCTCAACACCTTTTACACTGAAAGATATTCTCCTAGGAGACAGAGAAATTTCAGCTGGTAAGTTTAAATG